TTCCTGCACAGATGTAATATATTTTTCCTTCGATGCGATCCGTTTATTTGTCACCTGAGGATGGGATCACATGATATTACGATTGTCCAACGAACGATCTCACAACGAGCGATAAGCGACCTTCGTGCGAGCGGAAAGAACAAAGCGCTAATGTAAAGTAGAAGAAAAGAAATAATTTTTGTATTTTTTACCCACTGAAGATGGCTCAATGCAGAGCCGAAACGTTTGGGTGACAATGATTATTGTTTAAATATATGTAATTTTAGCACTAATTTCGTGCAAGGCTCACTTGCCCTTCTTTGGATACTTCTTAAGAAATTTAAATCTCCTTTACCTTTTCTTAGTCTAATATATGACGTCTAGAGTTGTCAACGTGTGCCAATATTTGCTTCGTACGAAAATTTGGCAGCTTGTTGGCACAAAATAATACCAGTCGGAACTACGAATTACATATGCAAATAATGTTGAGTAAATGACCTCCTTTTGGACACATAACGATTGAACACGGCTCAATTGGACATGCACGATTGGACACGAACGATTGGACATAGCACGATTGGGCACCTCACGATTGGACACCGTACGATTGGACCTGCACGCACGTTTGGACACCGTACGATTGGACACACATTATAAAATTATGTATTATTAAACACTACATTATTGAACACGCATTATTGGACACCATTATTGGACACTGCATTATTGGACTCCGAATTAAGGTCCGTCTATAAGGAAAAGTTTTAGGTCGTAATTGTATTTTGTAAGTGACATATTTTCGGCTAGAACTTCGCAACAGTAGCTGAAAAAGCGTTTACTATGAGCCGTTACCAAAATAGTACCAAAATAAAAATTTTAGAGATTTGATTTTCTTTGAAATATATTGTTAAATACAAAAATGAAAAGACATGTATTTTTTTATACGTGCGGATATTTGCTCTGAAAGAGAAAAATCGTTTTTTCTTTAAGGGGTATTTTCTCTAAACATGAGATTCTGCACGTATAAAAAATACGTGTTCTTAGATTTTTGTATTTAACAACATACTTTAAAAAGAATCAAATTGGTTCCGGACAGTTGTAACAAGTTCCTTGTAAGAAGTAAAATGTTCTTTCTCATAACTTTATTAATAATTTTTATTAACTTTTTCTTTTTTATAATTATTAATTCTTTTAAACAGGTACGATTAAGCTTATTACTTCTTTTGCAAAAAGTATAATATTGTTAAGCCCGCGTCTATATCCACGTTATTCTATGAACGTTTGTGCCGGTCGAACTGTTGGCGAGAAGAGGTTGTTTCCCTGACGATGCGCTGTCGCCTGTCAAACAGTCTTCATATTAGATTTGTCGTCGTGTCGTACGGATGTGCTTTTCTCTGCTGCCGATATTCAAACTGTATTTGTTGTTCTCTTATATTAAAGAGAGTTCCTTTATAAATAAGTGTTCCATTCATTTATTCCTCGACTTCGCGAGTGCGCGAAAGCAAGAGTATAAGAATACGATCCCTGGACGTAACAATATTACAAACGTGTTGGAAGGTGAGAAGTCGGCGCGGTAAGTAGTAATACGGTAAGTAGTAATACGCGGTAATTATCCTAACCACGCGCCTCGCACTAGACAACCGCAGTCCGCGGCGGGTGGGCGTATCTCGCCGCGCGTTCAGATTCGGCGATTTTTTAAAATTAATATCTCGATAACGGTTTTTTAACCATCAATATAAAACGAATCAACGATACATTTAATTTTACAAATGTTTCAGCTCCGTTTGAGCCATGTTCGGTGTAATACAAATCCTGCTGAAAATGTTCGATTAAAACTGATTAAAACGTGATCCATTTAAATCGATTTTAATCGGTTCAATCCGTGCCCAGATTAAAAAGTAATCGGTTTTAATTTCAAATGAATTATAATTAGTTTTAATATTACTTTTGCGGATTATTTCCAATCTAAAATCATTATATTCTAATCCATATTGTTGTCAATTTAAATAAATCTGAATAACCGTATAG